ATTTGAAAGGAGGAGGGGTACGAGCACTGGGAGAGGAGTAAGGTCAGAGGGGATGGGGCAGCATGGGGTGGGGCTGGGTGAATGCCAGGGGGTGGAAGGGGAGAGCCCTCTCCCCATCAGCATCCAAACAGTGTTATTTATTGAGCACTGAGCACCTCCCTGTGCCAGACACGCGCCCTGGTGGCAAATACATCCCAGCTTACCGGGCCTGCCAGAGCTCTCTCCTGGTACTTGACCCCTGTGGGCCTGCCCTTGGCCTCTGCGGTCACCCCTGCATTGCGAGGGGGGCATGGCCAGTCCCTTGCACTGACAAGGAATCTGAGGCCAGAGAGGGGAAGGGCAAATGCTCCGTGACAGTGGCTGCCCCTCGGTCTCGGTGCCTGTCCAGAGGGACAGGTGCTCAAGAGGGAGAGGTGGAGCCTGCATGTGACCAGTCCTCCCGACGTCCGACTGCCTGGACCTCACAACCTCAGGCACTTTCCAGACATGGCCCCTGGGAAGCTGGGCCCAGCTGGACTCCTTGACCTTCTCTGGGCCTGTTTCCTTGCCTGCACAGTGGGGGTAGGAATTCAGCTCCTTTGCAGGGCTGCTGGGTGGTCCGCTCAGCAGCAGCCGTTTACTGAGCACTTGCTCTGTGCCTGGCACTGTGCTGGGATGGTGCCAGGGACACCGTGACCTGCATCTGTCAGGGCTTGGGGGTGCAGCAGGCACACCATCAGTACCAGACTTCTCCTTGAGCTCTGGACAGGTTGTGCCCCCACCCTCATCTCCTCCTCATCGCGACTTCTTGGGACCCCAGACCCAAGACTCAGCCCACTCTCCTGTTGGCCCCCACCCCCACCTCAGGCTTCCATTTGGGGAACAAGTTGGGGTCAGCCGCCTCTAGCCTCGGCCAGCAGTGTCCCATTATCGGCAGGCGCAGGGGGTGTCTTCCATCGCCCTACACCCTGTTCTCTGTTGGAGAAGCGGCCCCTCGGCTCTGTCAGTCTGCCCCCACACTAAGGGCTGCCTTCAGTTCAGCAGCCTGCCCCCACTTGGTGCCAGGGAGTGCAGGCCCAGCCCTGTGGAGGCTCTGGGCTCCTTTGAGGCAGGAGAGCCCAGGCTCTGCCGCCCACTAGCAGGGAAACCTCAAGCCTCACTTTCTCTGTCTGTAAGATGGGGCCAGCCTACTTTGTGAGGCTGTTGTGAGCATTAAATGCACCTTAGCTCAGGACACAAGTAGTAGTGCTTACTATCAATGAATCAATACATCTTAGAGTCACAGGTGCTCTGTAAAACTCGGGCTCTTGGCCTGCCCGGCGTTCCTTCCCTCCTGTCAGCCAGTCTCTGACTCCCCAGTTCTTAGTGTGGTGTGGAGGGGCCGTGACCTGGCCCAGCCGACTCTCACACCCCATCCTGGTGGTGGGACTGGCTGGGGGGGGCCTGTGGTCCTGTCAGCCAGTGGGCTGTGTGGGGCTGTGGCTGGGGATGCCTAGAGGTTCTTGCTCCTTGGGTGGGATTTGAAGCTGAGTCACTATGTTGGACCACAGGGAGAAAACCTATCTGAGAATGAAGCCAACAGGCAGCTTTGGGAAAAGCTAAGGGCTCAAATGTTGGCCGGCACCCCCTTTCCTCCATCTGTGCCATATTTATCGAAGGCTGTTGTGCACTGAGTGCCATTCCAGTTGCTGGGGATGCAGCGAGGAACAAGGCACTCCCCACCTCACAGAGGGGACAGCCCTGTCCCGGGGACTTTGCACTTACTGTTCCCTCTGCCTGTCTTTACCCACAGCGAGACCTCACTCGGACCCTCTGCTCCAAGGCACAAGCTCACACAGCTCCTCTCCCCTCTCCTGGCTGATTTTGCTCCTCAGCACTTGATATACCTGAGATACTCTACAGAATACTTGTTTATCTGGCTCCTTCTCTCTCTCCCTCACTAGAATGTCAGCTCCACAAAAGGGATTTCATCTGTGCTGTTCACAACAGATCTCTTCTGCTTAGAACAGAATCCCGCATAGAATCGGGGCTCAGTGTTGAACAAATTGGGGGCCCCCAAAAGACTGAACAGGTGACAATCATTGCGGTTTGAATGTTTAAGGAGCCAGCCCTTTAATGACCCCCCAGGGGAGGGTACAGGATGTGGCTGCTGCGGACAATTGATTCTCTTCTGACTTAACCCAAGTTGGATTAAAAAGTTGGGGTAGGGCAGGGAGGTGTCACTTTCAACCTTTAAGCTCCTGCTATATGCACAACCTCATTGCTGCCCCTGGAGGGTGCACGGGAGTCCTGTTGCTGCCCTTGGACATGACTCACCAGCACACGTTAAAAAAAAAGAAAAAGCGCCCTGGCCAGTTTGGCTCGGTGGTTGAGCGTCGGCCTGCGGGCCAGAGAGTCCTGGGTTTGGTTCCCGCTAGGGGCACATACCACAAACAAAACAAAACAAAACAAAAAAACCCCAGAAAAATCTAGGCCCTGGCCGGTGGCTCAGTTGGTTGGCACATCAACCTGTATACCAAAATGTGGATTTTATTTCCGGTCAGGGCACATACCTAGGTTGTGGGTTCGATCCCCCATTGGGGCGGGTATGGAAGGCAACCAGTCTCTCCCTCTCCCTCCCCACTCTCTCTAAAGATCAATGAAAACATCCCGAGTGAGGATTTTAAAAGGGGGGAGAGAGATATCCAGAGACAGCGATGGTGGCAATAGCGGGGAATCTGCTTCGAGGTCTGTCTTCGTGTTCACAAGGCCCTGTGAGTGGGTACCAACCCTAAACGGGGAAGCTAAGATGCTTGCTCAAGGACCTGGAGATGCAAGTGGCAGAACGAGACAAGGACAAGGAGAGAAAAGGCACCATTTTCTGAGCACTCAGAGGAAGGCAGGTGAGCTGCCCGGCTGAAGACAGCAGGTGGGAAAGAACTGAGGAGGGCCCTGGGGGCAGGGGCTGTGCTCCCCAGGGGACCACTGGGCTGAGGTGTGAGCCTGCTCCCCGCAGCCCACCTACTGCGATTTCTGCAACAGTGGCCTGTGTGCTTTTAACTCTGGAACCAAACTCGGCCTGCGCAAAGGCAGCTGGAACTGATGCAAATCCCCACCCTGCTCACTTTGAGCCTTGGAAGGCTTCCTGGAGGAAGCCACATTTAATCAGAGACCCGGAGGAGGAGTCAGGTGGAAGAAGAGGTGGGGGAAGAGCGTTCAGTCTAGGACAGCGTGGGCAGAGGCCTGGGGGTGTGAGAGTGAGTGACCAATTTCTTCCGTGGCTCTGCCTGGCTGGAGTACTCACCACAGCTTTCCCAGCCCCTGTTTCCACTGTTTGCTCCCTCCCCCAGCATCAGAGGCAGCTCGGTCTCCTCCACTTATCTGCAGGCCCATCTCAGTGTCTGGGGCCCTGCTGTGTCAGGAGGCGGCCTCTGGGACTGGAAGCGGGTGAGAGGGCTCCTGAGCCAGCACCTCCCAGACACCGGGATCCCCTTTCTCAGGCCTGAGACCCAGACCGAAGCCCCAAACCTGCTGCCGCTCGGTGCCCGTAGCCTGCTCACCTTCCAGGTCTCCGGGAGTTGGCTCAGAGGGCTGTTTTACAAACAAGGTGTCCTCCTCTGTTCACCCAACTATGCTCCTGTGCCTCCAGGCGATTTGGCGTCTGTTAATTAGCCTCTCTGGGCTTCACTCATTTTATCTGAAAAGTGGGTTGTTGCAAACTGCTCGCGGCATTGTCCGGCCGTGCTAGGTACTCAGAGTGCTGCTGTTGTGCCCGCTGTAGATTAGCGGGTTCTGATCCTGCGGTTTCTGCCCACTTAGCCTGCCGCGTACCGACCGCTCAGTCCCCCCGAAGGAAGACCCAGTGTGGAAACAGGGCCTTTTCCGCATCCTGAGTTTCACGATGCCTGTGGGAAAGGGGTCTTTCTACAAAATCGTTTTCTGGGAAATCTACGTAGGAGGAAAGTGTCCCAGCCCGGAGCCCAGCAGAAAGAAGTCCTGAGTGAGGAAAGGGAGGGTCAGCGGACTGGGGGAGAGCAGAGATGAGAGGGGAGGGTCCTCAGGAAAGGGGATCTGGGGCGCAGCAGGAGGTTGGGGAGCTGGGTTAAGACCCAGCACAGCAGGAGCCAGAGAAGAAAGATTCTTAGCGTCTCAACAGTGTGCTTAGGACAGACCCGCCAGGTCCAGGTCCCCGAGGCCTCGAAGGCCTGAGGGAACAGACGTGAGGTGTGGCCAGCTGGTCAGAGTGTGGGCAGGCACCATGATGGGGGTGGCGAGGGTAAGGGAAGGGAAGAAAAGAGGATGAGGAAGTGGTTGTGGCCAGAACAGGAGGCCATGATCCCCAGGTGCAGCATGGGGGGAGGTCCGAGGTGGGGCCGGGCTGGGACTCCGTGGGCACGGGGAGCACCCTGTCTCCGTGTCTGGATATGACCCATATGACTGACCCCTCTCAGAATCCTTCCCTGAGGCTCCTCTGGGGACGCACATGCCCAGGCTTCTGCCACCCCAGCCCTGTCGCCCCAGAGACTCAGCTGTCTCGAGCCTGTGAGCCACTTGAGGGCAGAGCCGGAGCAGGCCCTGCTGGCCCAGAGCCTGAGGGAGACCTGCACACAGGAGGTGCCCAGAACCTCTGCGGTGCAGACCTACGCAGTAGGTTTCTCCTCTCTCGTCTTTAACTTGCCCGTGGAATAAACAAATCACTCTCACTGACAGTGCAGGCCTGGGTCCATGCCCCCTCGGGAGGGGAAAGTTTCCACTGAAGCCTGGGGATCCCCCTCCCACTGCCACTGTCCCCGCCACTGTTCCGGCACACACAGTTCCCCTCTGCCCCCATCCCCAGGTTTGGGGGTGCCGTTGGAATCATCATTCCTGCAGAATCCCTGCCTGCAGCGAGCCTCTTGCTGCGACAGGCCCCGGTGGCCCCGGAAACGCCCTCTGCCCTCCCAGAACACGTGGCCCACAGTTTTCCTTGAACGCAGCACTTTGTGACTAACACGTAAGCTTCAAACACAGCCCCCTTTCCTGTCTTTGCATTAAGGAAATAGGTTGAGTTTCAGAGAAACCCGCTGCTAAGAGAGTACCAGGCCTTCCAGCCCAGGTCTCTGCCCTGCCTGGGTTTGTGCTCCTGTTGCTGTGTCCAGGTGAGTGGCCAGCCTTCAGCCTTTTGCCTCTGTCCTGCCAGCGCAGCCACCCCTGGACTCTGGGGCAGCTGGCAGAGGGTGAATAAAATCCCCCTCAGGGAGAGACCCTGGTGGGGTGGGACCTCCTTACACCTTGCCTGGGAATGTGGGGGTGATTAGCCGGCAGAGCCTCAGGCAGGGGGGCTTGGGCCATAGAGAAACCCAAGTTGGATTCTTGGGCCCCGATTCTTCATCTAGAAGCAGCTGCCTGTCAGCATTAGGGACCAGAAAGCCTTGCAGGTGGCCTGTTTATCTTTTTTTTTTTTTTTTATCCTCACCCGAGGATATTTTTCCATTTTCTGTACAGATAGAGTGGGAGGGAGAGAGGTAAGGGAGAGAGAGAGAGAAACATCGACGTGAAGGGACACATCGAGTGGCTGCCACCCACACGACCAAACAGGGCCGGGGACAAACTGCAACCGAAGTACGTGCCCTTAGCGGGAACCGAACCCGGGTCTCTCCGGACCGCAGGCCGACGCTCTAACCGCTGAGCCAAACCGGCCAGGGCGTGGCCTGTTTATCTTGACATCCATCTGCAGGTCTCCAGGTAAGTCATCCCAGACGGAGCAGCAGCTGGCCGCCATCCCCAGGGGTGGCCTGGGTCTGGCGGAGGAGGACAGTCAGGAGGCCACTGGGAAGACCCAGAGGGCTGTCGGTCTGCGATGGGTGGTGTCAAGCTGCAGAAGGAAGCAGACGTGGCCTGTGGCCCTGAGGGAAGCAGCCAGGCCGGGGGGGGGGGGGGTCCTGGGGACACAGAGATGCCTGCTCTGTCCCTGGCCTCCTGCTGGGTCCATCAGGAAGCAGAGATACCTCTAGACAAAGCCCTGGCCCCGGACCCCATGGATATGAGTGTGGCTCAACAGGGCTGTGAACTTGAACAACAAAATGCTGATGAGTTCCACAAGGTGTCCAGGGTAGGCTCCGGTCACCTGTAGGGCAGCTCAGGTTAAAGTGGGACCCAGAGAGGCGAAGGAGCCAACGGCTGGAATCCTGCTTAATGTCTGAGTCCTCGGCAGGTTGCATGGCCATTCTGAGCCTCTGTTTGTGCATCTGTGACATGCAGATGTAAATATTGGCACCTAGTAGATGCTTGGCTCCTGGCTGGTGGGTGCGAGGCTGGGAAAGGTGTCCCAGGAAGGAAAGGGTCTTAGCAGGAAGGAACGGATTGTGTGGTGAACAACTTAAGGTGATCTTCGTTTCTCTTTTGTCAGCCAGGAAGTGAGCACAGTAGGTGCTTAATATAGCTTTGTCGAGAGATTAGGATCAGGGACTCCAGGGGCAGAAAGGCCTGGGGTGCCACCTGCCAAGGCTCTTCTGCCGGCGCGGAGCTTCTGTTCCCCTTTCGCACTGTCCTCCAGCCTCGTGCACGCAGCCCGTGCAGGGACGCTGGGCAGGCAGGCGCCTGGCTGGTGTTTAAGTGGACATTGGAGCTGGGAGGCCTAGAGTTGAGTCCGGGCTCTGCCACCTACTGTGTGTGCTGTGTGACCTTGGGCAAGTCACTCCACCTGTGTGCTTCAGGTCCCCAACCCACAGATCCATTACTCACAGAGATTAGGTGAGTGGACATGGCGGGTGCGGACATGGCGGGTGCCTGGCCCACAGCAGGTGCTGTGTAAGCATGTTGCTGTCAGTGAACCTTGAACAACGTGGGGATTAAAGGTGTTGACCCCCTGCCCCCAAATCCATGTTTGACCTTTGACTCCATCCCTCTGCACCCACGGGGCACGGGCTCTGGGAGCCCGGGAGGCTCACGTCCCTTACACAGAATGGCATAGAAAACGCACACAGTTGGCCTTCCGCATCCACAGATTCCCAACTTCGGATAAAAAATACTGTTTCTATTACAGTTGGTTGAATCCATGGATGCAAAACCTGGCGATACGGAGGGCTTACTGTACAGTTACTGAAAAGATCCGTGCAAGGGAACACATGCAGTTTAACGCGGTGTTGCCCAGTGTCAGCTGTCATTTTAATGGTCACCACTAGCTCTGGTGGTCTCAGGCTCTGGACTTCACAGCTGCTGGGCTTTCCTGGGGCTGCAGCAGCCGGTCCTCTCCATGCGGCCCCACCCACAGTGTCGGGTTAAGGCAGCAGTTCTTCACTGGAGCCGATTTTGCTCCCCCTACCCCCCGGGGACATTCTATAATGTCTGGAGACACTTTTTATCATGCCCCGGGCAGGGTCGTTACTGGCATGAAGAACATACAGGCCAGGAATGCGGCCGAGTGCCCTGCAGTGCCCAGGAGCACGCTGCCCCACATCGCCACCAGGCTCCGCTCTCCACTCACCCTACTTTTCCCGTCCTCGAAGACTTCTCAGCTCCCTTTCACAGAGCTTGGCACTCAGAGAGGGAAAGCTCCCTGCTGAGGTCACACAGCCCTCACAGCCCAGGCAGCAGAGGTTAGGCTGGGGGGAACGGTCTCGGTTTTGTTCAGGCACTCAACAGACACTTGGAGAGTCTGCTGGATGTGACATGCCCCTGACCCCCCACCAGCCTGGGCCCCGACAGTCAAATGCAGCTCAAGGTACAGCTGCCCCTGGATCAGCCCGAGGTCTGTGGGGATGTGGCAATCCCTGGGTCTCCCACTCGGAGCTGAGGATTCTGCCATCCTAATGAACATTCACTGAGTGGTTAATGTTGGCTGCAGGGTGAGAGCCCCGGGTTCAAGTCCTGACTGCCATTGCAGGCTGCATGATTCTGAGCATGACCTTGACCCCTCGGAGCCAGTTTTGTTAGCGGTTCCCAGGGCAGGGAGTTAGGCGAGCACTGGATTAAATGGATAGTGCCCCTAAGAGGTACAGTGAAGTCCCTGGCACAGAGGCTGTTGTTGCTGTCACGAGGTGACACATTTATTGGGAGGAGGCAGGGGCCACAGTGGAAAGGAAGACACTGTATGTAGGCTCTGCTCGGTCAGTTCAGCCTGGGTGGAGACAGAGCAGCAGGCAGACGGTGGTCGACGCTGCCGTCAGGGCTGTGATGTGGGAGGGCAGGCCCCGGGAGAGCAGAGGAGGGCCTGGCCTGGCCTGAGACCATCACTTCCAGGAGGAGGGGGCCTGGGACCTGCAGCATCTGACCGGGAGAAGGCTGTGGGCGCCGCTCCCGGCCGAGGAAACAGCCTGTGCACAGGCTCCGGGCAGGTCCTCTCCTCTCCGACCACCGTCAGTGGAGGAAGCCTCTAGACCCACCGCTCCCCCTCCCCTAAGGAAGGCCCATGGTCCCCCATCCCTCTCCAGGCTGCCAGGTTCCCAGGGCCTGCAGAGATGTCTTCACCCATCGCATGCTTTCTCAGGTACCTGGTGTCGGCGGTCTCTGCACACCACAGATATTATTGGGCACATACACTGTACGTTGCTCGTATAGATGGGGGAGCAAGAAAGAGTGTCCATTCTCACAGTGCTGACACTGTATCATACCATAAGATGTGTCAACACATACGCTGACATATGTCAAAGGTCACCGCTGATACATGTATCGCATTTACAGTGGTGAAGAACAATGAAGCCAGGGACAGAGAAAGAAGGGAAGGCCATTTTATTTTTATTTTTAAAAATTTTTTTTTATCCTCACCCGAGGACAGTTTTTCATTTTTTGTTCAGACAGAGTGGGAGGGAGAGAGAGGTAGAGAGAGAGAGAGAAACATCGATGTGAAGGGATACATCGAGTGGCTGCCACCTGCACGACCAACCAGGGCCGGGGACAAACTGCAACCGAGGTACGTGCCCTTAGAGGGAACCGAACTCGGGTCTCCCCGGACCGCAGGCCGACGCTCTAACCGCTGAGCCAAACCGGCCAGGCGGGAAGGCCATTTTAGAGAGGGACCCCAGGGAAGGCCTCTTGGAGGAGGGGGTGAGAGCTAGGCAGAGACCCAAAGGAAGTGAGGAATGCTGGGAAAAGATTGTCCAGGCAGAGGGAATAGTGCAAAGGCCCTGAGGTTGGACCATACCTGATTTGTTCAAGTGACCAAACAAGTAACACGAGGAGCCCGTGTGGGCCTGAGTACCAGCAGGTGATGGGGCAGACTGTGCAACACCTTGGGGGCGGCCATGAGGATTTGGGCTTTCACCCTGAGTGGGGTGTTGTCCTGGCGGGCCGTAAGTAGAAAAGGACGTGGCAGCAAGGGCAGGCCGGGTCCCTGCCTGGTGCTTGGAGAGCCTTCTCTCGTGGGCCCCAGACCCTCCGTGGGGAACACCTGTGCTGGCCCCGTTTTCCAAGCGGAGTCCAGCGAGCTTAACTGGCTGCTCAGGGGCACCTGCTACTGGGCAGTAGCCCCATGGCTCCATGATGAGAACCCGATGCCCTGGGTCAAGGGAAAGAAATGAACGGCACCGTGTTAATTGCTGTCCTTGAGACGTGTAATGTCACCAGGAGGCATCCTGTTGACTGACAAACGCCTGTGCTGCCTCTGTGATAGGCACAGGCAGCCTCATGGCCTGTGCACAAAGGGGCAGAAAAGTGGCTTCCTGAGGGACTTGGGGGCTTGGGCAGAGGACTGGGGGCTCAGTGAGCGGAGGCATGGGCAGTGAGGGGCTGGGCCCTCATTTCTTCAGAGCTTTGGGTGGGGGCGCTTCCAGCGTCTGGCTGAGGGTGGTGTGTGGAGCCCACAGGCCTGGCTGGGGCCACGGCCCCTGCTTCCAGCAGGTCCAGGCGGATGATTCCCCTGCCGCCTGTCTCCCCTCTGCGCTCTCATGACAGACACTGAGTTGGACTTCTGGTGCTCAGAGTACGGCGTGTGGACGGGAGGCCTCGACGGCCCTGCTACACAGCTGTGGGGCTGAGCACAGCTGGACTGGGTCCTTCCCTGCAGGCTCCTCTGAGCCTTTACTATTTGTCCGTGTGTCCGTTTTGTTATTTTAGATTCCACCTATAAGTGACATACGGTATTTGTTTCTGTTTCTGACTTATTTCACTTAGTATAACGCTCTCAAAGACCATGTGTGTTGCCGCAAACGGCAAGGTTTCG